TCACATACACAAACAATAAATTATGAATTGAGAACAAAAAATAATTTCAATTAATTTTTTCATTTGATATATTATACGCATGCTTGAACTCATATTAGACTTCGTTCATCTTGTCCAAGTAAAACGATGAATTGATCTGTAAACGAATGAGAACGGCTCGTGTTTGATCTATCGACCTATTGACAGCTCTAACAGCAATTCCAGTTGTTTTTTAAATACTTGAATTACGATTAAGATTATTATTACATAAGAAATTTCATTTCACAAGAATATCGATAACAAGTTAACCGTATCATAAAAGATTCATATTCTCCTATTCAGTTTTTCAAGACCTGATTGGCAACATTAAGTTTTTCGCTTTTCGGAATTGCCGAAATGCCGAAATGCTCATTGTGATCCGGCTTGTTGAAAAGCAAATTGTAATGCCACTGTCAAAAAATATATTCCTATTCGTATTTTTCTTGGTCTCGGAAGATGATTTCCCAAATTCTACCAAAGAATACTCTAGAAGAATCTGTTTTGAACCGAATGCAAATCTTAGTGCGTTTATTTCCAACCAAACTGTAGGTTTAAGAATTTGAGAGCCAATGAAATGCCTTGGATTCAAATGACCGTTCGTTCCAATTTTAGAGTAAGTTTTGCGAACTAGTTGCAATTACCATAGATGATGCATTTTACACGTTGATTCGGTTCAATTTTATACAATAGATACAAAATTTTTTCAGTTCAAAACAATGAAATAAATTTGAATAGTATTAATGAATATCACATACACAAACAATAAATTATGAATTGAGAACAAAAAATAATTTCGATTAATTTTTTTCATTTGATATATTGTACGCATTTGTAACATTAATTACGAAGTTACCGAGTAGAACGGAAGATTTCACACGATTGATAGAGAATTTTGAAAGAAACAATTTGAAAAATCACTCGAGTGATAAGGAGTTTAACGAGAGATAAATTGAGGATTACGTCTGAAAAACGAAGCAATCCGTTATTATTACCTGCATCAGCTGAATTAAAAGGACTTCTGATAAGATTGTGGTGATAAAGCAACACATACACGGAATCAAAACCTCAACAAACAATTCATGAATAATCAGGAAGCAGCCAAACTGTAACATTTCTTAATGGAGACAATAGGAGACGAGTGTCTATCGTATTATGAATCTGACTGCTCAAAGAATCGTCAATAGCTTTCAGTACTAATCATTAGAATCATCATAGCTCCAGAATCAACAAATAAGTCAGAAGCGGAATGATTTCTGGAGTGAGAATCGTTTTCGCCTCAAAACTAAATATGAATAAAAGTGAAGTGTTTTGATCTAAAACGGTTTGCTGTCTTATTTGATCTAAAACACATCGGAAATTCCAAAAATCCGTATATTCTTCGAATGATTTCGCAGATGATGACCATTCGTCTTAGAAGTCACGATAAAAAATTATTCGTGAACATGACTAAGCTTTCCGAACTTATTTGTTCATCTTGATGATAAGATTTTGCTCTGACCAAGCACTCATATGAGGGTTTATTCGACATACTCGACGAAACCTGTGAACTCAGCATCTAGTACGTTTTTGAAGCAGAATCTCTTAAGGAAATAATTTGTTGATCGTTATCCATTGATGGCATATTCGCATCGAGCAGTCGTGGCATCATTGGTAACGATGTCGGTGGCGATATATTGGAGAAGGCAGGAACTGAATTCATGTTTGTGAGGAACATTTGTGAGAGTATTTGAGATGGAAATGTGATCCTCGGTCGGATTTTGCCAATCCAATCTGAAAAACCTCATAAGGTAAATGGGATCACTGTTGATTCATCAGTAGGCTCAAGTCTGGTCAATAGATCCGTTATGTTTGTTGTTTCTTTCGCAGACGGTAAGCTGGAATATCAGATCGATCACTAACTTCAAAGCGATTTGTGGATTTGAACTGCGAAGCTTTTTGAAGGTAACATCGAAATGTTAACTTCAGATAGAAATCGTTAACTTCATAGCTTTTCATCAGTTGATGCACACAACTCCATGCGGTAAGAATAAATGTGGAGCTATGTAATTGCCATCATATCTAATTGTAAGCATTTGATCTTGGGCAGAGCAAGCAACAGTTCTATGCAAAGAACACAACTAGTAACTTGAGATAAGCCATCTTCGAGATATCAGTGCGATCACGGTTAGTCATCGAGACTGCGAATCGAGATTTTGTTCTCATATCATCATGCGAAAGTTACTTCCACTATTAGAAACATGTATGGAAGCGTTCTTGATCATTACCCTTTATTCAATATCTACTGAATGGATTATCTTTTCTTAATTCAGATGCTGCAAAACAACAAAATCTGCGCAATTTTTTCAGATATTTTTCTGAACAGAGCATTTCAAACAGCACTTGCGTTATCCCAACAAAGAACTTATTCAGGGAAACCTACATTGATTGAACAACGCTTGTTGCAGTATTGCTGGCGAATACAGTGATGGTAGCAGCAGTGAACCATTGTCAGGTCTTGGATCGCTGCAATTTACACAGTTGATGGAGAATCAATTGCAATAAATCTCTTTCAAGAACATATTCTCAGGCAATTCAGAAATAAATCATAAATAGCGAATTGAAACGGCCTCTGTTTTCGATACCCGACATGAGGTGTTCATGAGAATTCAAAGTTTTGGCTAGGTGAGGAATGATGATCATACAAGAACAAGATTGATTTGAGGTATCATCAATGTAACTAACATATCATACTCAGGCGATCGACCGCTTGGATCTCGGAATCCTTTTGCGAATGGATTTTTTTCAATTTTCAGTTTTGTAATCAACTGATTCTGATAGGCTGTGACGGCCATGAATTGTGTTTCGGTGAATTGAAATGTTTTGTAGTGTTCATTGTGCAAATCAATTGAGTGAGTCTGAAAAATCGAAATTTAGACGAAGTTTCTCGAAATTTATATGGAAACTTGCTCGAATCTCCTTCAGAAAAAGAAATCAAAATTTTTGGATGAACTGATATGATATTTTGTGAGGAATGTGTTGAATGCAGTGATCGGATAATTCAATTCAAATAATTCAACGACGAGAAACATTCGAACCTGTTCGATAGGATACTCTCGTGGCCTTCTCACGATGTGAATCCGAGGCTGGTATTTGTGCATTGAGTTCAAAATCAACTGAAATTTTTTCAGAAATTCAAGTGATCTGGATTCATTAAGTAAGTTGGTGATCAGAACTGATCATTTGTTGATTGATCAGAGGAAAATTTGCTGCAAATTGATCTGCGAAAAACACTGACAATTCAGAACATGAGCGAATATTCTCTCGATTCTGGATGATTGGTTTCGAGACAAAATGAATAAAATTGGCTCTCAACAAGGAAATTTCCTTACATGGCCAGTTTTGTCGACTTCATTGTTCGTGAGTTTGGCTTTCTCGAATGATATCACTTGCTTCAGCAACTGCAATTGTTAAATAAACGATCAGCATTATCATCAGCGCTTGACCATTGGATAAGAACATAATGTGCAATGAAGTTGTGATATTTAGTTATGAGCTAGACCGAGCAAGATATAAGATTTGAAGAGTGGAAAATTTGTGAACGTGATATTGAAAGTAATACGCAACAAATTACTTTTGATATATTCCTTATCAAATTTGATTCGTTATCACCATAAATTGAATGAAATCGTTTAAATTGAACGCTTCCATCAAATTTTTGTGGCAACGCACATGGGGATGTTATAACAAAATTGCATACGAAAGTTTTGTGATGATTACACTGATCGAATCTACAAAAATTTTGCACGCATCTGCAAAAATTTGTCGAGACATTGCTTTGAATCGTATTGATTCAATTGAAAGACGTTACCTGTTCTCCAGTGAACGGTGAATCAGGATGCATATAGAGACGATTACGAGGTGCCGGTTCAGCTTTGCCGGCCGTCAGCCATGACGATTTGTTATAGATATAACGATATCGTTTATTGTCCACAGGTACAACATCGAGCAGAACGTAGTAGAGAGCGTCTGCATCACAGCCATTTAAACTCAGTTTCATTGTTGGAAACATACGCCTGAAAGTTTTAGAACTGATGTGTATAGCATTAACTCATGGCAGGCTGCTTGTTTTGATAGGATAAGCTATCTATCTTATTAATGATCAATTTCAAATAGAAATCAACTTCTATTTAAAATGATGTTCTATGCCAGTTTCGAAGAATTTCAAACCCTTTTGTCATATACTATAAGAGGGTTTTTTGCAAGGCTTCGTTCAAGAATTAAAAGGATTTGGGGTCTCTAGTCCACATATATAGACGGATATGTTAGTTGCGAAACGCTAATTCAGAATCTCACTTCAATGCACTGAAAATCTTTTCCCCACCATATCTCGCGTCCCCCTTGTGCTCCGCAAAAAATGATTGCACATTCATAATCAGCTATATGGGCCCTACAATACATCTCATCCCGAAACGTTGGGGTAATTTCGTGACCTTCCCTTATTAGATCATCTTTCAGTTCGGGCTATTGTTAAGGCTGTGAATAATTGTTGGTAATAATCAGATGTGTACATGTTCACTTCATAACACTTATCAGAGTTTGATGCATGCTTCTAGATTAATGTGTCAATTGATCCGCTATCGTTGAAGTTGATCGATTATCATGAAATTTTGATGTATGAGTGCAATAAAGTTGTGATATTTAGTTGTGAAATGGACCGAGCAAGATATAAGATTTGAAGAGTGGAAGATTTATGAACGTGATATGAACGCATATGTATTAGATATCTGCATGGCTTACTGCTTCACAATTAAATCATAAGTGGTAGAAATCATCAATCTTATTCACTGACATATTTCCGTCTTTGAGATGCAGATTTAGTTGGTTTGATTGCATGCGCTGATAGTATATAAGGAAGAGCATCTATTGACACACTGCAACGTTTGCTTGGCAGAGAGCATCAGCTATCACCGTTGCAAAAACTTGAGTAAGCATTTCGAGTGATAGTCAAAAGGTGTCGTAGTGATACAATTACTCAAATGTTGAGCAAGTTATGAATTTGAATCAGTTCAATTCAGTACAATGAATATAAGAAGCGCAATAGTGCCTAAAGTTAGCGTTCTAGTAATTCAAAAGATTTCACTTCCAAAAGTTAATCACTGCAGGTGTGGAAGTTCATTTTTTACTCATTGTCAGTCTTCATTTTTCTGCGTTCTTGGTCCCAGGTAATTTGGTTACCTATAAGTTAGACTTACTTATCTCATAGGAAAGTATTGAGTGATTGAGACTAACACAGTCGAACTGAGGGCCTAACAGCTTACAACTTACTTACAAAAATACAAAAACATAAAGTCTAGCATGTTATATTACTCTTTATCGTTTCTGTAGTTTTGTGAGTAAGTTGTACTTACTTACAAAAGCTAACGATCACATAGTGAAGTTTCGATCTAACTTGTAACATGCCGACTAAAGCATTTTAAAACTGTATTATCAGGGATAATATATTCTAGTGAAATCCCTCTGTTCAATATCATTGAGGTGGATAATTGTTTGATGGATTGTATCAATTAGATCAAGAGAATATATCTATAAATATCTGTTGCGATAACAATAAGTGAAGTGTTATTACAGGTGTGAGAATAAAACTGACTAATAATCTCAATCGTTACTGTTATTTTTTATTGCACTAATGTACTACTTCAGTCAGTAGGCATTGTAAACGCACTCTGTACCTATTCGATATCAAATCTCACATTTAATGTCTTTTCTAAACAAATTTTAACGACACCTTATCGTAAGGTCACCCACCACCACTCTCTGTACCGTTCTGCTCTTATCGTAATCACTACCACTAATTATGTGTGATCATTAATTCATTCGGTTGTGAACGGGTTTTTACGATCCTCACAGCCACAGCCACAACGTTTTGGAGCATTTTATTAGCGTTATATTGTCACTTTCCCAAATTCCATTCCATGAACAGAATTTTTGATAGAGATTTGTTGGTTGCACTGCACACTGTTATAACTTAATTTGATTGTACTACAGAGAATGAGGATCTCTCGAAGTTGGCGTTGAATTTGGAGCGATAGTTTTTAATGTGTAACCCATGAAATGTCATCAAATGCTCTCATATTTAGATCATGCTTCATCAAAATGGAATTTTTTCTTTTGGACTATCGCATAATTTCAACAGTGCGACCGTATTTATTGTATTATACCACAGAAATGTTGGTATGTTGCTCGTAATGTACTGTATCGAACACAGTCATCATACAACCACATTGGTATCAAATGATGAAAGATTTGACGTGAACGCATCGAATTAATTAGAAATTTTGCAATAATTCAACAAATTGAGTACCAATATCTATTCAGTTGGTTACCCGAATGATGGAAACAATTAAAATAAGAGTTTGTGAAGAATTTAATTGCATAGGAATAGGTTAATTACGCCGAATAAAAACAAAATGAAGATTTTCAATTGACAGTAACAAACAGTAGCAATGAGAAATTTGAACTGAAAAGTCCATCTCATTGACAGTTTGTGCCCAATTACGGTTTGACTTTAATCTTTTGAAACTTTTTGAAGTTAATTCCATGCCATCGCAGTTTTTCTTCCGATATATCAATGGGTTTTCGATGCGTATAGTCATCGAAGTGAAGAGAGCGCAATGGATTGCAAGCAATAAAATTCCTCAAAAAAGTTTTAGTTGCATTCTGTGAGGTATCGCGATTGGACGCAAATGTGAACACAAATATTTCAATCATAATAAAAATCTATTCATCATCATTCGAATGATCTGAATGAACGAATGAACGAACGTCCTGAACAAATCGTATTAAGAAAAAAGAATTTTAATGGATAATTTATAAGTGTATTATTGTGTGTCCTCTGTGAGTGTCATATCGTGAATGAATCTGGCAATTTGGGTGGCAAAAGCACCGTAATTTTATTTGTTCAACAAATTGAAGAATGCAGACGAGAAGAGAATTTAGAGGAAACTCGGAACAAACGTTTTATGAGGTGAACGATTAAGAAGAAGTTTCTATTGTATTTATTTTTCATACCGAATATTTTATCAATTCCAATTATTGTTCATTGATTTGATAAAAATTTTTGCTTGTTGAAACTTGCTTGTTTCCTTTCGAAGAAGAAAGTTTCGTTTGATGAGAGCGAACAAGTGAAGCAGCATTGCTGCTATTTCGGCAATGCTTAACGTGCTTGAAATCAACGAGTTTGCAGGCATGTAAACTTTTTGAAACTGCTGACATTTGGATTGATGTGTAGTTAGAATGGCAATTCTTTCTTTTTATGATTCCTATGAAAATATGTTTTCAACAGGCAAAGGAGGGATTTCACTGAAATAATTATGTTTTTCGAAAATTGTTCACAATGCTCTGTGAAAAAATGACTAATTCTCAAGTTCGTTGAAAAAAATCAACTTTTGCAGCAAACTGCCAGCATGGTTTGCTGCAGAAGTTGATTTTTTTGTCATTTTGATATTTGGATTGGTCATTTATGCTGGCTCACTCTTCAAGTTATTGTTCGACTGAAACAGTTATGTGGTATATCATGTAAATAGAGATTGATATTGATGGACATTCTATTGAATATGTCATGTAAGAGCACTTAAATGGTTCACGTACCCATGGAGAAGATCACCGATGTTTATGAATGAAGACATATGAATATATTATGTGTGAGTGACTAGGGACTATAAAACGGGTGAATGGAACAAATCAAAGAATCAATCGAATCAATAAGAATCGATCAAACAATGATTGATGGTTAATCACCTTCTTAATTGTTTGTTTGTGAGAAGAAGACACCAGATTCACTATTATATTCAAATGTTAACGTGATTGACACCCATACAAATCATGAAATCGTGCATAAGATAAGTCGTTTGAAGAGGAGCACGGTAGTTGACGATGAAAGAGAGAAGCCGTTTTCAAAGCAATTGCATGCATTAACTAAGTCAGGTTCAGTATACAGTAATCAATACAAAAGGCCCTAAATGAATCGTACATTCAGCCGTATAAAGGTAGATAGCAGACGGCAAAAATATTACACTTGAAGTTAGAACGCTATCCAGGCTCATGTTTTGGCTTCAGATTCAATTTGGATTTGATCTCATAAAGACTGATATAGTATGCTATAGAGTGATTTGATTCCATGATCGCAATAAGGATAGTCGGGAACGTGAACGAATTGATAGCAAGACTGAATCAGTGAAATATTTTATTAGTTCACTGGAAGAATCTTTAGAAACAGATTTAACAGATATATGCGATCGAATGGATTGAGCACATCATGCACTTTCGGAATATGGTATTGAAAGTTTCGTGCGATGATAAATTGAATGATGAGAAGAGTGTAAGAAATGCAACGATTAGATAAGGTCTTGTCACTTGGAATCGTTGCTTGCTCAGATTGCTGTCAACAAGGCAAGTTTTCGTGTTTTTCGAAGACGTGACAAGATTTGCAAAAACTAGAGCGGACACTTATAGCAGCAATAAGTCTTGTTGAAAAATGACGCAAAAAGTTGAGCATTTCTTAAATTTCGATCGATGAGTTTGTGGTGATGATGGCCAATGCGTTATGGCTGTCGTCTTTGAGTTGACATGAAACGCAGCATGTTAGCAGTTACCATACGAATGCAAGACGAGCAACGCTGTGCGTTTGTGTGTGCGATGACAACTTTACTTAACTGAAGGTTGATTTGTTTTCAACTGCTCAATTTCACTTCATTGTTTTGTATCTTCACTGGTTAGAGCTATTGATTTGCAAGAGTTGTTCGGTAATTTTTCACGTTTCATTCGAGGTTTCTAACGAATATTTGTGTAAATTCTTGAGAAAATTGACGAAAGATATTGTATTTGAATGAGGAGCTTCAGAACTTGCTTAAATCTTATTTAAGAAAGGATACATCAATGGTCTACATTTAGCAGTTATTAATTATTCGATTAGTACACCTCGTAAACTCGCAGTTCGCATAAAAACCTGTAGATCAGCAGAAACAAATTGAAGGATCAATGTCTAACGTTGATCAGAAA